TACCCTGATCTTTAGTTTCTCTATTTACCTTCACTATTTTCTGATCTCCAAAATATACAAGTAAAAGAGGAATACTGGGAGTGTGAGGTCAATGTTTGTGCTTGCAGTGGATAGCTTTATATTTACTCATAACGACAGGGTTCATTCAAATGATAAAGAAGTCAATTAAAGCTGTTCTTCTCTCAGTATATCTTTAGTGATGTGGACATATTTTGTGATGTAATCACCTTGATGACATAATGAATTTACTAGCATCCAGGTACTTTCCTTGACAAAAGCACACATGATCATTTGGGGATTGTATATTTGTATTTATATCTTGTGTCTATTAGATATCAGTACTTTCTCTAATTTTCCAGTTGTTATATCAATTAAATGTAATTAATATAATGTAAGAATTTTTATCAGTGTTTTTAATATGCTTGATAGCTTTTTCCTTGACTAAAATATTATATCTCAAAATTTCATGGGATTCTCACTGAAAATAACTGACAATTTTTATATGCTTATTTAAAAAATGTTGTTTCTTTGCTAGAAATGTGAGTTTGTGTTTCCTCCAGTGGACAACAGAAGAAGAAAATGCAGCCACTCCTGATGTGATCTGATAGACTAAAATCAGAAGGAAGGAGAGGAGGACCTCCCCCTATCAGTGGACTGGGGGAGGGGCATGCATGCAGAAAGGGGAGGAAGGGTGTGATCAGGAGGGGAGGAGGGAGGGGCTTATGGGGGGATTCAAAATGAATAAAGTGTAATTAATAATAATAATAAATACATTAATAATGAAAACATATTTTGAAAACTCAGGACATCAATATTTTTAGATATAATCCTGGTAGAAAATGCACATACCAATCTGGACAGAAAACAATCACAGAAGGTAGTTGTACAGAAAATCAAGTAACATAACATTCCTTTTATGTACAGGTAAGAATATTTGCCACTCTGCATATACAGAAAAATTGGGTGTGGATTAAGCATCTTGACTCTGCACAGAGAAGATCAGTTGAAGTGCACTCAGCTGGACAAGGAAACCAAACAAAATAGGGAAGGAATACAAAAACTGCTGTTTATTTTGTTGTGCTGTCAGATGAGAGTGAAAAAAGACTAACATTCTTTTGTTAACTATACTATTTGTTTTATTTTTTTTTTGGGGGGGGTGGAAATCTGTCATCTTAATCCAAGGCTGTGACACTGAAGGACAACAAATCATCCCTGTAAAAGCATAAAAGCATGTTACAAGGCACATGGCAGCATGTGAATGAATCATTGATACTGAAAGCTTGTAACCAAATCAATTTCTCTTTCCTTGGCAATTTAATCAAGATGAACATTTACCAGATTACAAATTCCAGAGGGAGTTTTTAATACTTAAAAATAAATTACATATTTTCTAATGGTGAGATTTACTTTGTAAAAAAAAATTTCATTTAAGAGCTGGTGCTCATGATGGCAATCATAGTTACCAACCTGACACAGCATGGACAAGGGAGCCTCATGTGCGGAATTGTTTATTAGGTTAGCCTGCAGTCATATCTGCAGGGCAATTTCTTGACTGCTAATTTGATATTTGAGGGCCCAGCCTACTGTGAGGAGCAACCATACCTAGGCCAAAGACTCTGGGTTTTATTAGAAAAGAAGTTGAGTGTGAGCCTAGAATAATCCAGTTTCTTCATAACTCTATTTCTGTTGTTGCCTCAAGGTTTCTGCTGAAATTTCTGTTTTGGCTTCCCTCCATGTTAAACTATAACCTATAAAATGCAACAAATCATTTTTGCTTTTAGTCATGGTGTTTATCATAGCAACAGAAAACAAACAAGAAAAGTGCTGAACCTTGGTATCTTTCAGTAATTTCTGATTGTTTTATCTCCTGATTGCACCTTCTGTGTTAGGCATACTTTAATAAAGTATACTTAGTGTTTGAAATCTGAACATTATTCATTAGTAAGCATTTGGTGCTTGAGTAAGTTGCATACTAATGCCTTATTTTTCTCTACAGAAATGTCAGTTTTTCTTCCCTTTTCCCACCCCAACTAAAATTAAAGTGTAATCAGATGTAGCTTTATTCACATGGATTCTCCTGTGATATAACTACTGAGAAGAAAAGGAATTCTTGTCTGTTATATAAAATTTTATCATTTCTACTGAATCATCCAGAATTATTTTCTTTGTGACTGTAAAGAAATAACTAAACTTGGTGACCAAAAACATATATTATCTCACAGTTCTTTAGGTCAACTGTCAGATAAGGGTCTAATAAGCCTAAAATGCATGATTCAGAAATAGAATGCTGTCTTCCACTATGAAGGTTCTAGGAAAATGTCTACCTTTTGCCATTTTTAGGCTGTCAAGGCTTTATTCATGACGTATCTTTTCTCCACTCAGCAGAGACAGAAATTATGTCAGCGATCATTAGGCTAGAGTTGTATCTTCTTCTCATTCTAGCCTAAAGAGGTTCTTTAATTTTCTTTTCCGTTCTTTTTCTTAACATTTATTCATTATTTTGTCTTCTAATTTATTTGATACAATGTCTGTGGCCCAGACTCTCTTTAAACACACAATGCACATTCCTCAGCTTTTTTTTTTGTATTTTATTTTTTTCTTATCAGTTACATTTTATTAACTCTGTACCCCAGCCGTGTCCCGATCCCTCATTCCCTCCCAGTCCCTTCCTCCCTCCCTCCTCTCCACCATGCCCCTTGCCAAGTCCACTGATAGGGGGGACCTCCTCCCCATTCAGAAGTGATATTAGAAGTGCACAGTTTATCTAATTTAAATTTATGGCATTAAAAGAAGTCTCCAGTGAAAACACTAGATTAATCACAGTTAGGCTTAGGTTGTTTAGGATTTAAGAAAATGCTTAAAAAAAAGATGCTTTTAAGTTAATAAATACAAGAGTTAATGAAAATGATGTAAGTATAAAACTTTAGCTCATCTAGATAGTATACATAGTATTTTGTTTAATGTTGCCAAGTACAGACTAGTTAAACATTTTGAATGTAATTTTTGCATATGGCTTTCCTGACTGTTTCATAAATGTTCTTACCTTATGTAGTTTATTATACATAAATAAAGTTAATATTCTTTTGGAAAAAAACTCGTACTCAAAGTGTCCTTTAAAATCACAAAGCCAGTTGGCCTTACAAGGTAGTATATTCATGGCTACTAGCAATCAGAACTTACGGAGGTTTTATGGATCGTTATTTTGGCCATATATGCAATTTTAAGCTCAATAATTTGTTTTGAAATGAAGGAATTTTGAATTAATGAGTTAGCGATTCTGAGTGAGAAATTAAAGAAGTAAATTCTTATAGTGTAAATATATTTTTAAATTTTATGATTTTTTTCATACATGTTATTTTTGGACACATACACTATTCATCCATAAATCCTACCTGATTCTTCCCACCTCCCTGTTCAATCACCTTCATTCTCTCTTTCTCTTTCTTTCTCTACTTCATAGAAAAGCATAATAAAAAAATAAAGCTAAATCTGACAAACTAAAAGAAAATCAGTAAGACAAAAAAAAAAGACCAAAGACAAAGCAAAAACCAATGCTTTCATGCACAACCCTTCCTTTACCCCCCCCACTCATATATAATTAAAATAAGAATTAAAAAAATCATTAAGTCTATTTTGTCTTAACCAAATATAGGGCCTTGGATCTTCCCTGAAGTGTGGTAGATATCTTCTGTGACAGTCTACTGCAGAAAACTTATGTTCTTTTCCCAGAAGGCAACAACTGGAAATAGCTTCTTTGTTAGAATAAGACCTTGTGCCTCATTCTTTTTTTTTATAAGTTTATTTATTCATTCGCTTTACATTCTGAATGCAGCCCCCTCCCTCCTCTCCTCTAGTTCCTGCCCTCCTACTCTCTCTCTCTCTCTCCTTGCCCCTTCCCTTCTATTCAGAAAAGGGAGCTCTCCCTTATATATCATGGATTTTGTGTGGTTTGAACTTACACAAGTCTTATATGTGCTATCACAATGTTTGTGAGTTCATAGGTATAACTGTCCTGTTGTGTCTCGAAGATGCTCTTTAGTGGAGTCATCAACTACCTCTGGCTCTTACTTTTCAGCCTCCTCTTCCTTTGACATCCATGAGTCTTGAGGAAAATATTTGATGGTGGCATCTTGCATTAGGACAAAGTAGCTTAAAGTACATAAAGTACATCACTCTTGGTGTATTGTCCAGTTGGGTTCTTCGTGTTAATTTTCAAGAGCTTCAAGAGAAGCCTTCTCTGATAAGTATAGTGCAGTGCTCTGCTCTATAGCGTTAGGCATCACCACAATGCTATGGAGCCTTAGTGGAATAACAGTAATTGTTTGTTTGTTTGTTTGTTTGTTTTGCCTAGGCACATGATTGATCTAGATTGATCTAGATTCTGTTCTCTGTCATTTTAGCAGTGTTATGTGTAACTGCCAAGTCATGGAGTCGGTTACGTCTATAACTGGTGCCACTGTTGCACCACTGTATCTTGCAGTCAGGTTGGTGGTGTAGGTAACAGGGTCGGTAGCTATATGATGTTGATAAGTACTCTGCTTCTAGAATAGTGTGCAAAGTTCCTTCCCACACGACGAATACCAGTTAATGGGTGTTAATTACTAGTTGGGCACCAGCTTGAATTTTGTATGTTTGCAGCAATAGGGTCTTATCAACATTTATAATGAGTAATTGCTGGCTGTAAAAATAGCCTATAAAATTTGGGTGGGTGGTCTCTAGAACCTCTTTGCCCAACAGCGCAACAACATTTAATCCATTCCTGACATTAAAGGTTTTAAAAAGTGACAAAAGTTGTCTAGTTGCAGTATTCTCTCCCCCATTATATGATGAACATATTTAAATTTATTTGTTATATATATATATACTATAGGAAGTTTCTACCCTAATAAGTTTCTATGTGGCATTAAAAAGGCTTTTAGTGGTAGTTATCCATCATGATATTCTCTCATTTGCCTTCCCCACAGGATCTCTCATTTAATTCTCCTTTCCTTATCCCACTATAAAAATAGGAAAACTTCTCACATTTGGATTTCATCCTTGTGTAGAGGCCATGCTAACCCTCTATGTATTGTTTTAATTCTAGCGTATCTGCTACTTAAGTGAGTTATAATGTATATTATTTAATCGATGACAAAATGTTAACTGTAATTCACCTCATTCAACTTTGGAAACAGGAAAGAACTATGAATACACTTGGGAAATTGTTTAATATTTTTGCTGTTGCCCACAGTCATACCACCTCAAATACAGCCAATCTGATTTCAGAAGCTAAGCAGGGTTGGGACTCATTAATATTTTCATTGTTTCCATCATAAAACCAGTGCTGGATCAATGCTTTTAAATTTTTTTTTTAAGTTTAAAGGAATGATGTAAGTAAAATACACATGATCAAAATGATTAACATCAAAATATCCCTTTGGGAATTTGGTTTGATGTACTATAACAACAGCTGTTGTTTGGTAGAAAATTCAGAGAACTAGATAGCATAATTAATGGCTTATTAAATGCATAATAGTGAAGGTGATTATTTCTAATAAAATATTTCTTCAGCCAAATATCTTCCAGGTTAATGGAGGTTCTGCTATTATAATTTTGCAATATTCAGGAAACTTTAAAAAAAAAAACATGTTTTTAATTAACAGAGAGTTACATCACTTTCCTGCTTTTTCTCTCTCCAGCCTCTCCTAAGACTTTTTCCTCTAAATACATGAATGTTTGTAACAATGATAATCAAAGAAAATGACACTACACATTTCAGAAAATCTTTTGTAGCTCCACACTGCAGAGGCAAAGTGTACTAGTCTTGAACATACATTCATAGCCTATTTTCTGCACAAATACATTTCTATAGGAAAAACAATTTGGAGTTTCACCAATGTAATCTATCCACCTAAAATGCCAGTGCCTTCCACAATACCAGTGATTGCCACAGCAATGAAAATTGCTTATAAAGTCAAAAGCCAAGGAATATATTCAGTTCTAGGTCTTTTGATAGATCTTCCATTTAAATGACAAGTATTTTCACCACTCTCATTTTAAAAAAAAGTGTTTCATTTGCAGTGGAGATGGCAGTGTATGTCAATTTCTTACTGTACAAACACTGTAACTTGACATTGGTCTCAAGATCCACTTTTTTACCTGTGAAATCATTTCTAGATTTCCAGAATTAGTTGGGAGGAACATGTGAAATTGCCAGAAAAGTTATTACAACAGAATGAGTGGAACATGAAATTTAGTGAAGGATCCTGTTTACAAAAATAAGATGAATCATGGTAGTGGAAAATACATATAGTCAACCTCTGTCCTTCAACACACACACACACACACACACACACAAATGTGCATACAATGCTGATGAAATGTTTGCCAGAGTTAAATTTCTTTATTTAAAGATATTAAAGTTTGCTGAAGAGATGGCTCAGAGGTTAAGAGCACTGACTGCTCTTTCAGAGGTCATGAGTTCAATTTCCAGCAACTACATGAGAGTTCACAATCATCTATAGTGAAATCTGTTTTGGTTACTGTAGATTTGTGTATCACTTCTTTTTTTCACAAATACTTTTATTCTTAACACCATAATTCAGAGCTATTTATAGCTTTCACAAATCAGAAATTATAATTATTTTTCTCACCACACATCTCCTCTACTTTCATCTCCTCTTCCATTGTCTTGGTGTATTGCTGGATGTAAGCTGGCATTTATTTTCCTTGCAGTCCAAAATTCCTATCAAAAGTACCTTGTGAAATTTCTTTTTCCCTTTCTGTTAAAAATAGATTCTTTTTCATAAAATATATTCTGATTATTGTCCCCCCTCCCACTTTTTTTTACCACCAGTGTCATTTACAATTCTGACCCTGCATACTGCCAGGATTTCCTGGATTTCATTTTTCAAAGCTTACAAAGATAATACCCTACCACACACCATAAAATACGTGCCAACGTCTGGAGACACCGGTCATAGCTGAACGGTGGTTCCACTAGCATGTTGTACTATGGTGTAGAGATCCTGACAAACCCTCACAACACAAACACTAGTTCTTCCACGTCTAGAACTGCATACATCACACTGAATGTCAGTGGTACGAGGTTCAAGAAAATGACTTTTATTTTCTTTATTTCTCCTATTTAATGCAGTTCTTTTTTAATTCATTTCTTTATTTACTTTATATCTCAGTTGTAGCCCCTCCCTCCTATCCTCTTAGCCACACCCTCCCTTCTTCTTAAAGTCTTTCCCTTCCCCTATTTCTCAGGAAAGTGGCGCCCCTCTGCCCATCAACCCATCCTAGTGCACCAGAACTGAGCACATCCTCTCACCCTGTGGCTTGTCCAGGCAGCCCCCTCAGGGGGAGTGATCAAAAAGCCTGCAATAGAGTCCACGTCTGAGACAGCCTCTTCTTCCCTTACAGAAAAAGAGGAAAAAATGTGGGAGAAGGAATACAGAAAGAAATGAAGGTGGAGATTAGACCTGGGGAGAGCAGAGACAGGATAGAGGACCTGCAGAGAGAAGGGCTTAGTGCCGTTATTGCTTGTTTGACCTTATCACTTGTAATTCCGTCTTTATAGAGGAAGTGTGCTCTGAACTGCACAATGAACTTTAAGATTTTGACCAGTTCCCAAGACTTCTGTAACATTCAGGACCTATGAGCAAACATTGGGTTTAATCCCAATTACTTTTTTCTGTCTCGCTTTTTTTTTAATTGAAATAAATTCATGCAATCAGTTTTTTTTTCTCACCCAATTCATTCCAAATAGTTTCTGTTGCCTCACCACTCAAATGGATGTCCTTGTTTCTTTCTCTCACTTTCGACAATAAACAGGCAAACAAATGATGAAAAACCAGACATACATGAGTAAGTAAATAAATAAATGTAGAGTAAAAGGAAGATAAATGACACAGTCTCTCTCACCAACAACAAACAGTTGCTTACTAAGCCTCCCTGTACCAGTGTTTCTGTCTTTGGAAATTACGATTAATTTACTTTGAATTTAATCCTAGGCTAATGGAAATGTTTTAAAGTTGCTAATGGCAGCTTTCTTTTTTTAAATTTTTTATTAATTACACTTTATTCATTTTGTATCCCCCCATAAGCCCCTCCCTCCTCCCCTGCTGATCCCACCCTCCCTCCCCTTTTTGCATGCATGCCACTCCCTAAGTCCACTGATAGCGGAGGTTCTCCTCTCCTTTCTGATCTTAGTCTATCAGTTCTCATCAAAATTGGCTGCATTGTCCTCTACTGTGGCCTGGTAAGGCTGCTTCCCCCTCAGGGGGAGGTGATCAAAGAGCAGGCCAATCAAATTATGTCAGAGGCAGTCCCTCTACCCATTAATATGGAACCCACTTGGACACTGAACTGCCATGGGCTACGTCTGTGCAGGAGTTCTAGGTTATCTCCATGAATAGTCCTTGGTTGGAGTATGAGTCTCTGAGAAGTTCCCTGTGTTCAAATTATCTTGTTCTGTTGCTCTCCTTTGTGGAGTTCCCATCCCCTCCAGCTTTTACTATTTCCCACTTCTTACATAAAATTCCATTTACTCTGCCCACCAGTTGGCCATCAGGCTCAGCATCTGCTTTGACAGTCTGTACTGCAGAGGCTTTCAGAGGCCCTCTATGGCAGGTTTCAAGGTTGTTTCCTGTTTTCTTCTGGCTTTCAGAGGCCCTCTGTAGCAGGTTCCGAGGTTTCCTGTTTTCCTTTTCTTCTGATGTCCATCCTCTTTTCCTTTATGGATGGGGATTGAACATAAGTTAGGGTCCTCTCTTTTGCTTGGTTTGTTTAGATGTACAGACTTTAGTGGGTTTATTCTATACTGTATGTTTAAATGAGTGAGTATATACCGTGTGTGTCTTTTTGCTTCTGGGACAACTCACTCAGGATGATCCTTTCCAGGTCCCACCATTTACCAGCAAATATCATGATTTCCTTATTTTTCATTGCTGAGTAATACTCCATTGTATAGATGTACCACAGTTTCTGCATCCATTCTTCAGTTGAGGGGCATCTGGGTTGTTTCCAGCTTCTGGCTATTACAAATAAAGCTGCTACAAACATGGCTGAGCAAATGTCCTTTTTGTGTACTTGAGCCTCTTTTGGATATATGCCTAGGAGTGGTATGGCTGGATCTTGAGGAAGCGCTATTCCTAGGTGTCTGAGAAAGCGCCAGATTGATTTCCAGAGTGGTTGTACCAGTTTACATTCCCACCAGCAGTGGAGAAGGGTTCCCCTTTCTCCACAACCTCTCCAGCATGTGTTGTCCCTTGAGATTTTCATCTTGGCCATTCTGATGGGTGTAAGGTGAAATCTCAGGGTTGTTTTGATTTGCATTTCCCTAAGGGCTAATGAGGTTGAGCATTTCTGTAAGTGCTTCTCTGCCATTTGATATTCCTCTACAGAGAATTCTCTCTTTAGCTCTGCTCCCCATTTTTTAAGTGGATTACTTGGTTTGTTGATTTTCAGCTTGTTTAGTTCTTTATATATATTGGATATGAGTCCTCTGTCAGATAAAGGGTTGGTGATGATTCTTTCCCAATCTGTAGGCAGTCGCTTTGTTTTGATGATGGTGTCCTTTGCTTTACAGAAGCTTTTCAGTTTTATGAGGTCCCATTTATTGATTGTTGCTCTTAGAGCCTGTGCTGTTGGTGTTCTGTTCAGGAAGTTTTCTCCTGTACCAATGAGTTCTAGGGTATTCTCCACTTATTTTTCTAGCCAATTTAATGTGTCTGGTTTTATGTTGAGGTCTTTGATCCACTTGGACTTCAGTTTTGTGCAGAATGATAAGTATGGATTTATTTTCATTTTTTACATGTAGACATCCAGTTGGACCAGCACCATTTGTTGAAGATGCTATCTTTTTTCCATTGTATGGTTTTGGCATCTTTGTCAAAAATCAGGTGTCTGTAAGTTTGTGGGTTTATTTCTGGGTCTTCTGTTCGATTGACCATTGATCCACCATTCTGTTTCTATGCCAGTACCATGCAGTTTTTATAACTGTTGCTCTATAGTACAGCTTGAGATCAGGGATGGAGATACCTCCAGAAGATCTTTTATTGTAGAGGATTGTTTTAGAAATTCTCGTTTTCTTGTTATTCCATATGAAGTTGAGAATT